CTCCTGCTCTTCCCGCGTGCGCGAAACTTAAACCTATACATAAATATTATCTCCCTATAGGAATACTACCTCATAGCTCCCTCCAATAAAGACCCTAAGATGGCACTGGCTGGCACCGCCAGGCTCCGATAAAGCGCTGGCCACTCCCTCCCAAACCGACAAATACAGACCTCTCTCACCCTCACTCACTCACTCCTCCTTCCCTACCAGGCGGTTACAGACCTTCTTCCCTCTCTCTGTAGCTGCTGCTCTAATAAATCTCTTGGCCTCAAGGGGTGTTGAGTCTCACTAGTGCCATCGTCCTTCACTACCCGCTGTGCCCCATACCCCAGAGGAACCTCTGGCAGAAGCAGGAGACTCCCTGGGGCTCATGGCTGGCTGGGGGGGTCTTCAGGTGAATGCTGATCTGTCTGCTGGAGATCATACGCCAACCTGGAGGCCATCCCCACAGTGGATATGTTTCCAACCCTACTGGAGCTGGAAGGATCCTTTCCCTAAAAGGCAGAATTCAAGACCTTTCGATTTCAGCTAGCGAGCATGATTTAGGGAGTAAGACCCAGGCTCTGAGTTAGACTGCCTAGGGCTGGCACCAGCCATGATTCTGTGCCTCAGTTTACCTCCTAAGAACAAAAAAGATGATGCCCATATGAAGTTTAGAACAGATCCCAGCAAGGAGTAGGCATCAAATAACTGTTGCTGCTATTGCATTGCTGTTGTTTTGTTAGAAAGCTGCAGGAGGTTTGGGTTGATGTTGTAGCTCACTAATTTTCTTCATTTCCTGTAAACAATTTTAAGTCTGATAGGCCGAAGAATTGAAAAACGTTCCTGAAATTTTACATACTGAGGGCTCTGGTGAGTGTCTCCAGAGTTGGGTTTTTTAAAATAAACATTAAGTCTTGATATGACATTAACCAGGTGCTATAGGGAACCTACGAGAACAATCTAGCACTCACTAAGACATGAGCACAAGTTGGTCTTCCATTTCTTACAGGGAATTCAGCATAAGACATCACCCAAGCCCTAACTGAAGACAATACGCCGTGTCCCTGCAACTGAAATGTATATTATGCATATTTTTATAAAAACATGGTTGAAAATGTTAGAAAAGGGCAAGAGAAGGGTGGGGAGGATGGGTGAGAACCAGAGGCTGCCATTGCCACAGGCAGACATGACTTATTTCATTTTACGTGACTATTTACTTTGATATTGAATAAAAATTGAATTTGTCGCTATAGCAACTGCCATATCACATGGCACCTCTCCTACCTTTAAATCACAGTAAAGTATTAAAACGACAACCGTGAACCAGGGCGATGATATGGGAGTCTTGTATGCTACAGGAGGAAAGGATGGTGTTTCATAATAAACTTGCATTTGTCTATGAAAGGTACCTATAGAAACCTAGAAGAAACTTAACTTATTCTTTAGTCTTTGTGCCTCAGTGTAACAATTAGAAAGCATTTAGACATTCTACTGCAGGACAAACAGCAGGTTATCCCATCCCCTCTAGGCAAATCTCCTTCAGATACAAGATCAGGACAACCCAAACACCACCCCACCTTTGGTAAAGGAATTTATGAATTGCAAATGTCTAAGTCTCTTTCAGGAATCACTCCTCCCCCAGGGTTAACCTAATCAGCTCTCTGAACTAAGTGACACCGATAAGCCCCACCATGGCAGCAATCAGGTGACTAACCCACCCATCTACCTGCTATCCATCACCTGACATCATCAGTACCTGCGCTTGCCTGCCCCTTGTGTTGACGTGGAAGCAGACCACGACCCAATCACCTTAATGATCCTCTCCCATCTAGGGGAATGGTTAAAAGGACTCAACCACAAGCAACCAGGGGCCATTTCCTTGATAGAGTCTGGTGTGGCCATGTGCTTTTTGAGCCATGGTTGTCACCATGCTTCCTGGCTTTGGTTCCCCTCCCCCACCTTGGGGAGGTGAATCTTCTCTCTTCCTTCTCTTTCTCTCTCTAGTTTACTTTTTTTTATTTTTATTTTTATTTTTTTTGAGTTGGAGTCTCACTCTGTCACCCAGACTGGAGTGCAGTGGCCGCTCCCGGCCACCGCAGCCTCGACCTGCTGGGCTCTGGCGATCCTTCCACCTCAGCCTTCCAAGTAGCTGGAACTACATGCACGTGCTACCACGCCCGGCTCATTTTTTTGATTTATGCAGAGATGAGGTCTCACCAAGTTGCCCAGGCGGTTCTCGAACCCGCCGGCTTAGGCAATCCACTCACCTCAGCCTCCCAAAGGCACGGGATTACAGGCTGAGACACCGAGCCCAGCCTAATTTACTTTTAAATAAACTTTTCTTTCTTAACCTTTTTGTGTGTCACAATTCTTTGCAATCTACTTGAATCTCTGGGTTGCCAGCATGCTCCTCCAGCTTGCCAGCCCTGGCGGTGCTGCACACCTCACCTGCGTCTCTCCATCTCACCTGGTCTGTCCAGTGCCCTAACAATCTATATGTCAAGTGTGATCAATTATATCAAATATGATTTTGTGTGATTTTCTTCACGTTTGAGAAATCAGTGCAAGAGCAGTAGGCGGGGCTGGGGACAGCTGTGTCAAAGCCACTGACCAACCTGCCCTGGGGTGGGGGCTTGCACCTCTAACAATCAGAGGCTGGGAAGGTGGAGTCCCCCACCCCCCACAGACTGAATACAGAACAGTGCTACAAATATTTTAATTCAATTTCTTGCTAATTTCCCTTTTTCAAATACAAATTAGGAATATCTACAAGAAAACAGGCTTTTCTTAGGACTGATGCACTTTCAAATTTAAGAGAAAAAATTTCTGTCAAGAAATGCAGATTAGAATCAAATAAAGGGAACATGCAGAAGATGACAGTGAAGGGAAGCCCAGACCTCTGTAGTGTTCCACAGAGCCCACCACATGGACTGACCCAAAAAAAGGCCCCACATGGACCCTAAAGGGGCTCCTTCACTGTCCCCTCATCCTACCATGTCCCCAGCAGGGCTTGGGAATGGTGATACCACATGTTCGCTGAAATGGTACATACTGGGGGACGGGGTATGGAGAAGTGTATTTCTGGAGAAAGGATGCATGGTTTTTCACTGGGATCTCGTACAGTCTGTAACTCCTGGCATACAGCCTTCTGTCCTCTGGTTGCAGCAAGCTAAGTGAAACGTGCAGTCTAACAGTCTGTCCATCTGAGGAGTCCCCAGGTCTCCTTTATCCGGGGTGTCCCCAGGCACTTGTGGCCAAACACATCATCACATCCCAAATTCACTTCATGGTCTCCTTGCCCACGAAGGCCTGAAAAAGGACATTTTCATCTTTTAAAGTTCATTGTACTTATCTTCAGATGCTGACACTTGTTCCTCCCAAAACTCGAATCCACTGTTTTCTCTTCTTTCTGACAACACCCATCTTGGGCCAGCTGGGATTTTCTCCCTTCTGGGACCTGCTCCTCTGAGTTCCAGTTCCAGGGTCAGGACTCTCTGTGCCCCACCAGCCTGGCCTTCTCTGCCACCCACATCCAACACTCCTTCCCTTGGATTTCCAAACACGTGTCCTCATCTACAGGCCGGGGACATTTTTAAAATACTTATTGTGTCCTGCCTTTATGGAACACAATGCCAAGCAGAATGTTCACAGACATATAGTGACTTTGTTATTGTTAGCACTCCCTACGGTGACCCTGTCACTGACAGATAATGAGTTAGTTGAGTCACAGGAGCTCCAGGGGCTGATTATGTTCAGGGATGGTGATGAGGACTAAGCTCTGAATTTTTTTTTTTTCTGTTGCCAAATTCCTAACTAAGGGGCCTGGGGAGTCATGCTCTACAAAGTCTCATCAGATGGGTTTTTATTAACCCTGTATAATGTGGTTTACTTTCCAACCAGACTCTGGCATAACATCACGAAACAGATACAGGAAATGAAAAATATTTTATGACCCTGCAAAGTAATCTCTTGGGGGAAATTTGCATCTGATTAAAAGCTCCTTCTTGAGAATCAGCAGAGGAGCTAGACATTTGCCATCTATTCTCTCGCAGGGCTGCCACCTAGGAGCTTCATCTACATATCAATAAACTTGGCTTCCTCAAGCCACCCCTTGTCTCTGCAGCATTTCCTTTACCGATTTCGAAATTCCTTAGGCAGAGCCTAACTCTTGTTCCTAATTGCCAAACAAGAAGTCTTCTAATCCATCTACTTCCTGCAAGCCCTTTGCTTGGAGATGTCCTGCCTTCCTGGGCCAAAACAATGTAAACCTCACATGTATTGATTCATGAGGGTTTTTTGTCTTTCTAAGATGTATATAACCAAGCTGGAATTCATCCATCTCAGGCACATGTTCTCAGGACCTTATGGGCCTAGTTCACTCACGGTTAGAGTTTGGCACCTTTCACCAGTGGTGGTTCCTCTTGCCCTCACATATTTGTTAATGAGCATGTGACTCATTTACTTTGGTGACATTTTTCCTCCTTTATTAAGTTGTTAAAAGTGGTACTTGAAAGGATGGGCTGACAGCGAGAAATGCATCTTTCTTTACTCTTCTCCCTAAATCTTAACACAATGATGAGAAAGTAGAAGCTATGCTTTTGGAGAAATGCACACTTTCAATAAAATTAACTTTGCAGACTTTGTCTTTTCAGAAATCGACTTTCTGGTGCCAGGTATCAGATGTATCTCATAGTGGCAATCAAGGTTGCCTAAAGTAAAGGGACTTTACAAGGCCTAAGACATCATGCATTGGGCAAGGACTGTAAAAGTCATGAAACTTGTAGTTACAAAAGTTATAACCGCTCAGAGGGAGAGCAGTTGGGGATTCGATCTTCCAGTAAAGTGGGCACTGTCTACAGGGAAGCCAAGGATCCCCTGAAGCTACCCACTGGGAATGCCTAGGAGACAATGGGAGGTACACCCTCCACTACGTCTAAGGAATGTCGTTTGGGAAGGTGCAGGAGAATTAGAATCCTTGCCACGCCCTTCTCTAGGGGCTGTGATCATGTGGGCGGACATTAATGGATCTCTGTGTCACAGGTTCTCCAAGACATCCACAGGTGGTCCATAAGGAAGTCACAGCAGTCATGTGCAACATCTCCAAGAAAAGGGTTTAAGCCAGGACTCTGGGGGGCTACGATGACACACTCACCTAGAGTGTAGGCCCACTTCCTGTCTGTGGGGGGTGAACTTCTCTTAAATAAATCTTTTCTTCTCTCACCTCTGTGTGTTGCAATTCTTTGCATTTGCTCGGATCTCTGGGTTCCCTGCACGGCACCTCCGGCTTGCTGGCCCTGGCAGTGCTGCGCCCCTTGCTCCATCCATTTTCCCTCACCCTGTCCAGTACCCTAACAATACTAAAGGCAAAATGAGATAGAACTATATACACACATTGTACCAATATCCATCTCCTGTTTCTGCTATAACTTGCTATTATAACTCTGTAGAGGTAGCCACTGGGGGAAAAAGTCACTGGGAGAAGAAAGAGCATAGGCCCTCTCTGTTCTATCTGTGCAAGTTCCTGTGAATCTATAATAATTTCAAAATAAGAAGTCAAAAAGTAATGTTATGGTCCAAGTAATGCTCAGCTGCTCACCCTTGATACCAATAAATCAAGGGGCAGGAAACTGGTAGAAGGAAGTTTGTTTCTGCGTTCAAATCCAGGGAGCAGAGCTGAACTCAAGGTCTTTCTCAAATGGTTCTGCCCACCCTTCAGGACTTACAGTCCACTTTTATAGTCCAGAGTTGTCGGTACCTATACGTTAGCCATGTGGCCAGCAGAGCATGGTATAGAATTTAAGTTGCAGCTGCATTTTACATTTAGATACTGATATTTAGAGTAAAGGAAGTTTACAAGGCCTAAGACATCATGCTTCCAAAAATTATACAAGTCACAAAACTTATTTACAATCACATTGGTACCATATAGTTCAAAGAAAGAGAGTAAATAGGGATTTACATCTTTGGGCATAGTCTGCTGGGAAGTCAAGAATCTCCTAAAGATACTGACTAAAGTAAGTGTCTTTAGAGGACTATGGGAGTGCATAGAAGACAAGGGGACTCTCCGGAATGTGCTCAGGAATGTGCAGGAGCACTTAAACCCTTGCCATGTCCTTCTCTAGGGGCTGTGGCAACATGGAGGGACACTAGTGGGTCCCTGTATCAGTAATATTTAAAAAGTTTTGGAAAAAGGAGAAAATTCACTAACAATTCCACTGAGAAATAAAAATAAATTCCTAAGCCCCTTGACTGAACTGACCTCTTCTCGGCCAAGGTGACCTGGAAGAACCTTAAAAACTGAGTTCCCAGTCATGACAGGATGGCAGGTTAGATAGGCCTCGTTTGCCCTCTCCCTCCCTCTCCAACCACCAGTAAGGCTTTCTTCCCTGAGGGTTAAACAGAAACCAGTCCTCTTGATACCAACGGCTGACTCCACCCCACCCCCAGATGCTGCCCCACCCTTTTGCAGCTTCTACATAGCAACTGACCAGTATTCCTTCCTGAGAGGTGACTGTTGACCACAGAGTGGTTCAGGCCAGTCTAACATAGGCTGTGCACACAGAAGGCCTTTGTGTCCTCTGCCTCACCTTCTGAAGGACAGGGCCTCCTTGTGACACCTTTAAACGTTATGTCTCTTCCCCAAAGTGAACATGGGACGCATGCTGCATATATGTTAGCTGGCTATACATGCACATGTCTCCTTCTTTATGAATATTCATAGCTCCTCCTATAACCTGCTGAATATGGATACTTAGCCACCTTGATCAACATAAAGTTTTGCTCCCTTTGTTCTCCCTTCCCCTTCCCCAGAAGTATCTGTTTCCAGCTTCTGACTGGAGGCTACACTGACCAGCCTGTCAGAATGACCACCTGCAGGCTGCAAGCCTTTATGAGAAATAAGGCTCTCCTTTCCAAATGTATAAAACTCTTCATTCTTCGGTTGACACCACTGACTCCATTCCAGACTTGTTCTCTTATTTGCATGCTACATATGTTGCCTTCTGACACATCTGTACACACACATGTTTACACAGCTGCCTTTAAGTTTAGAGTTCTCATAATGTTTAATGGAATAATAGAATTCCAAATTTTTGATTATTATAATATAATATGTTACCTTCCTATAGTTTCATTTTTTTTTTTTTTTTTGTAAAGTTGCTTTTTTTTTTTTTTTTGTTTCCTTACCTGGTGAATGGTCTTCTTAAGCTACCTTTCTGGGAGTAAAATTATTGAGCCAAAGGGTAAAGTTTTTGTTTGTTTGGCTATAGATGAACACCGCCATCCTGCTTTCTAAAAGAATTAAACCAGTTTACCTTGCCTACAATGGAGTATGCATTTGCACGTTTTATCACATTTGATCTTTATTTAAAAAAAAACAAAACAAAGCTGTATCCTTAAGCAATCTTTAATACTAATATTAAAGATGAGACTTTGGAGTAGACTTAGGGTGTGATTAGAACATCTAAGAGTGTCTCACTCTGGTGTGGCTCTGGCATTTTCACCTGCCCAAGAGCCCAATGGGGCCACCCGTCTCATGCAAATCGTTCTGGCTGGAGAACCCTCTGTGAGTCCGTCTGCTCACCAGCTCCTCTCCTCTCCTGTTGGCTATCTCTGCCAGCATTTTTTTCTGACCAGAACCTCATCAGCCATGCTATATTTGATAAGCATGGCAGAGGCAGGACTCAGCTCTACCTAGGACACAGCAAAGCCACGACATGGGAAACTTCTCAGCTCTGCCTGACCTGATGAGCAGAGGCAACTCTTTCCCCACTATTTCTATTGTTCATTCCAGCGGTTTCTTCACCTGCGGGCAAAGGTCCCTCTACATCATGTCATCTCCAGGGTCACACCCAGACCTAATTAACTGGGCATCTGGGGAGTTGGTCAGGAAATCTGCATCTTCACAAGCTTCCCAGAGACTCAAATATACAGCCAAGTCATGCCATGGCTGCTGAAATGTTCCTGCCATTGATTTGGCCTAAGCATGATTTCGATATCCAAACTCCTCTTAGCAATCCTCAAGCAACTGGGAAACAGCTATTTAAAGAAGCAGTGTCTCTTTCAACACATAAGAAGTGACCTGGTGGGAGTCTGGGGAAGAAAATTAAGCTCTTTTCTGATGCGTCACTTATGTGTCTCGATTGTGCCTGCTGGTTGTGTGCTGTGATGACTGTCAGGCAGCCACCCTGCCCCACCCCACCCCTAGGCAACACATATCACACAACAGATTTACACTGTTTATGGGGGTAGACACAGGATCACAGGTTCATAGACTGTTAAGGGAGTTTTGAGATCCACATATTCTTAGCTATAGTATCCTTTCTTGGAACACACTTTTACCTAGAAGCCCCATGAGTTAGATAGGCAAAACAACCCTCAGCCAGTGAACGAGAGTGTGTGTGTGTTGGGGGGTGTGACTGGAACTCACACCCAGCATTCTCAGAGCTCTTGAAACTTTTTGAAGAAGCTTTGAAAAACACACCTGACCTCACCCCACACTAGACAGATAGAAGATCCCCTCCCCAGCGATAGGGAGCTCATCACCACCTGCTAGTCTGAAGTCGAATGACAGCCTTCGGTCTGCTCAGCACTGCCATTTAGCTACTTCTTAAATCCTTCTTACTTCGGTTTTTGAGCCCCTGGAGCTATACTGAGACCCATGGGTTGGCCACTATTTCCTACAAAGTACGGGACAAGGTCACCTTGTAAACTCTCTGTTTCTCACTACAATGAAGACATCTGAGCACAGCTCCTTACCTCAGATACAACTATAGAAGCAGTGCTCGTTGATGTGCCTTCTACTGACAATCATCAGGGCTATTTTTCTTCCAAATTTTTGAGCTTTTCTTTGTGGTGCTCATAGTTTTCTTTTGAAAGAAATATGGTTTTATTAATCTGAATTACATGCAAACATCTTTCAAGTTATCAGAAATTAGATTTTGAAATACATCAAAATACCACCTATCTATTATGGATATGTGTACATACTGTAATCTGCTCATTTCCTTTAAATTTTGTTTTGAGATATTTCCATTTGGTGTAAAAGGTTTTAATTCCACTATCTGTCATCACACATGTGAATCACAAGCATCGGAAAGAGATGCTGTAAATGTTGTTAGACCTCTAGTAATCAGACTTGATTTTACATTCCAGAGTCAGGAATTAGAATTCTAAATACATTTAAAAAAATCAGAATCATCAAAATCAGGCTTAATACTGAATGAGGCAATTAAAATTAGGAAAAAAAATCATTAGCTTTAAAAAATTTTCTCAGTTTGCATGCTTTTCTCCCATTTTTGCTGCCCCAAATCTGCTCTAAATATGCAAACTTCCCTTCCTTGTCAAGAACAACTTCCAGACTAGACACTGGTGAGCAAAAATGAAGTGGAACGTGTAGACATGCTGGACTTGAACACCCACTAAGAATAACAGTCATCAATTCAAAGGTTCCAGAACTACTGTCATTTGAAATGAAAAATTGTCATGTGGAAAAGGACTAGAGCTCCAGGGAGCTGGTCTCCAAGTACTTGGTAGACCAAGGAAGCATCTGGAGGCTGCCAAGAAAACAGGTGGGTCAAGGTGGACAAGTTTTCATGACCAGATTTTAACCGGTGGGTGAGAGAAACGGTCTAGGATGTGATAAATTTCTGTTCCTGGGATGACCAAGCTTCTGCCCCTAGAAATGGCAAAGTCAGTCATCTGTTCACTTGGGGCCAGAGAAGAAAGGGGTCAGACATGGATTAAAAAGTCATTCTCATAGGAATGACGCATCACCAAACATCATCCCACTTGATGACGGTAGAAGGGAGAGGAAGGTCAAGAGGGATGTCGCACTTCCTGCCATACAGGAGAGGCAGGCGCGATCACAGCCTGCTCTCCTATGACTCAAAATGGAAGAGCTGTGCTGTGGAGACATGTCTGCTTTGCTTTTGCCCTCAGCCCCTCTCCTGGAGCCTTGCCCCCATAGCTACCCTCAGGAAGTCAATTAGCCCCTAGCCTGCTGGTCCAGGCAGAGCCCTCCCGCCCACACATGAGAAAGATGGGCATCTGGAGTGGACAGAGGCTGATTCCTTCTGGAGTTCACAAATTAACTAGGTGGCAATGCAAATTTCCATAAATTGGGGCAAGCCACTTCCTAGACACCGACCAATTGTGATGTCGTTTCCATTTGTAAGATGAGGAAACTTCTGGGCAGGGGACAGAAACAGGTTCTAGCAGGAAAATCAAGTGTCCTGCACTCCCCACAATAAGTCTGAGACTCTTCTACAGAGATCTCTAAGGAGAGAAATCTGGGAGGCTGATGGCTATCGCATTTGTTGTTTAGTGAACTGGTAAGGGCTGGAGACGTCAGTTTGGGATCATTACTGTATAGATACCATACAAAGCCAAGGTCTGGATGACATCCCAAGGGGAGAGAGCACAGAGAGAAATGAGGAGAGGACCACATCTTGGACATTCAGATACACAGAAATCAGAGCAAGAGCTGACAGACTTGAAGAGCCCAAAGATGGTCTGCCAGAGGAGCACGGAAACCAAGGTGGGAGATGGCAGGATTTTGTCTCAAGAGGAAATCATGAGCCTCATCCCTCCATGGACCTCCAACCTCCTCTGGAGGGGTGCTCCATGAGGGCAGGGAGTTTGTTTGTTTTGTTTGTGGTTGTAGTTGCAGTTCTTGAAGCCTGCCTTATGGTACATATTCGGCAGATATCTTTTGATGAATGAACCGTACACCAAACTGATACACAGGGTGTATAGGAAAGCCACACTGGGATAGAGTTGGCTAGCCAGCAGTGTGGCCCCATCACCATGTCCTACCTCTCTTTCCTGGAACGGCAGGAATCCAGACTCCAGTCAGGAAGATGGTGTCTGGGTACCAGGCACTGTGCACTGCCTCCCATACAGCCCGGAAGCCTGTCACTCCCCTACCGCCTCTGCCTCTCCAGCCCCTCAGAGGAAAGCCTGCTTCCTGTCCAAAGGACACAGCTCCCAACCCACCACACTGCTACCGCTGTGACCCGAGCATTCCACATGCAAGACAGAACCCGCTTTGGGGCATTCTCTGACCAGGCTACATGAGTGGCTTCCACCTGAATCAATCTGGGCTTGCCCCAATCCTTCAACACCATTATATTCGTACAGGAATGACTTATCACCAAACATTACCCCGTTGACGAGTACAAAAGGGAGAGGAAGGCCAAGGGAGGCATCGCACCTCCCGCCACACAGGAGAGACAGGCAGGATCACAGTCTGCCCTTCTGTGACCTCAAAGTCCCAGGCACTATGGCCCCTCTGCCATCAGTCGCCGCACCTTCCTCGGGATGTGGACAGCTCTTGGGAGCCCCATAGGTTCTTGGTTTCTTTCTCACCCGTCATTGATGGTTAAATATACATCAAACTACAGGGGGGGCGGGACGCAGGGGGAAGACCAGTATGCCTCCAGCTGTCAAATGCCCCATAAATCCAACCTGAGCCAGAAGGCTTCAAGGAAACACCAAGAACAGTCATGGACGTTAGGGCCCTTCACACATTTTCTGAAAAGTTTCCATTAGCCATTGGTTGCTTTCCCCTCCTGCACTCTGCCCATCCTTTAACTGAAACGCGGACATTTTCAGAGCACTTAAGCTGTTCTTGAGCGCACACTACCCAGGAAGTACAAGAGCCTCCATGTGGGGAGAGCTGCCAATTAAGCAGGTTCTTATTTCAAGAGCCCGAGACTCAGAACTGGTGAGGAGGAGATTTCCCCACAGAAGCGGCTGATCTTTAAGTGGCTCCGCAGAGGCCATCTCTGCTGCGTGGCAAGAACACTCATAAATAAGCACTCCTTAATAGTTAATTATCTTTAATGGCGAGTGCTGTGAAATCTGCAATCTCAAACACGAGAGCATAGATTGGTTTCAGTCCACGCTGACTTACGAGTGGCAACACAGCACTCCTGAGAGGAAGCACGTCCCCTGTTCTGTGTACAGTTCATTAAACTGTCACGCAGTGGGGAGGGCAGCCATCGGTGAAGTGGGAGGAGGTGGGTGCCAGAACTCTAATTGCTGTTGGAGCGTGCGGCTGAGAACCTCTTTCTGATACCAACACAGCACTAGGGTTTGGACACGCTAGGGTTTGATAGACTTTAAATGATATGATGGAAACATTCATTCTTTTAAATTTCCTTTCCCAAGACTATGTCTTTAAATAATGAAGATAAAAGTGTGCCCCCACTGAATCCTGGGAAGGAAGAATTATTCCTTCTAGGCTTACTCATTTTCACACATTTAGCAATTGTGAAACATCTGAAGAAAAAGTACATGTTTTCTGAAGGTCTCTCTGTTTTTATCACCCATGACTGCTCTTTTCTTGGGGAGACAGTGAATTGTGATTTCAAAGGCAATCTAAAACATTGTCAGATTTGCCAGGCTCCATAAATCAGTATTTCCAACCAACAGCAGGACTGAACTTGTACCAGCTGGTCTTCCTGCACGTCAGCAGGACATTAGGTTGAATTGACCTGCAGCTCCAGCCTCTGCTCTTGAGGCCTTCACCAGAAGGAGGCCAACACCAGAGACCACAGACCAGAGGGTATCCCCTCCTGTTACTCACCGACCCCATCCCGGTTTGAAGAATTTTCAGTCCAGAGGTTTTCTCCAGTTTATCTTTGTTGTCAACTGTTAGGAAAAATTAAAAAGTACAAGAGTCAGCTAGGAGAAGTCATTGGTCTCTGAGCATTTTCTGCTATTGAAGAGTTCAATTAAACTCCTGCTTGGCCTGCCTCATTTAACAGAAGCATTGTAAATAGGCATGGAGTGAAAACATGCGCATGAGGCTGCGTCTTCCCACTGACCAGCTGGTCTACTTGAAGCAGGCACTACTGTGTGTCTTTGGTTTCATCTATGCAGAGATGTCATACCAGGAAGTTCACAGAATTCTTGTACATACTCAGTGAGAAGTTGTGTGCAGCCATGCTCTATAGACTGTAAAGTCTTCTTTTAACATTATATAATAGTTATATAACTATGAAAAATGTTTCATTCACCAGCATTGGGTGCCAGTAAAAAGACTCATGAGAAGGTAAGGTTGAAGTGTGTATTCAGGTCATTAATGCTGGGAGCTATTTTATTCTCTCTTATTCATGCCTGGACAAGAAACATTCTATAATAATTTAGCTCCAATAAAAGCCTCATCCTAGTTTGCTGCTAACTCAGAATGAGGAAGACTTTCAGAGAATGAATTACACTCAATATCATACCAAGAGAAATGAGCTTTGGAAACAATTAGCATATGTAAATGAAATCTCAGTAATCCTAAGGCTAACACAGCAAGCCCACCTGCCCCACTTCACAGAGGGGAAGTGTGTCACAAGGCAATTGACCTTGGCTTATGATTCTGTAGAAATATTCTTTTGGATAAAGCCCCTGTCACTCTGGAAATTAAAATAAGGAAAAATAGAATTTTATTGCAAACCCTATGAATGAAGAGTGCGTTGCAATTGTGATTAATACAGAATGAGATAGCAAGAAAATAGCAATTACTTTCACCTCTTATTGTAATACACCTACGTTAATCTTGGGTAATGAAATTATATCTTTAGAAGGATACAAATGAGATTCTGTTAGAGCCTGCTTCCTCACCTTTAGGGCCTTTTCATTGTCTTATGGAAAGTTTTTCCCTTTAAACAAATGAACATTATTTTTTTTACATATAGGTAATTACTTACTGCGCTGAAAGAATGAGGCAGATATAAAGCAATCTGCATTAAAGCAAAAGCACTTTGATACTTTAGGATGGGGTGGGCACACTGAGGGAGGGAGAAAGAAAGGGGTGATGGCACAGACAGGTGTAAACTCTCAATGGCAAGAGAATATTTTTTAAAAAGAGATAGAGCACAAAGCCATCAATTTTAGTGTCCTTCTACAAAGAAAAGAAACATTTTACTGAGAGGTAAGTTTTTTGGGGGTGGGATAACAGGGGACCTTTTTAAGTAGGCTGAGGAACAGGCAGCTCACACTAATGCAATTTTGATATGCTCCAGTTATTTCTATAGAGCAGTGATGGATTTTGGTCAGGAATGAAAAAGGCAACCTGGCCAATAATACTATAGCATAATCCCATCCGGGGATTAGCAAACTTTTCCTATAGTGCACCAGAGAGTAACTACTTGAAGCTTGGCAGGTCAATGGTCTCTGCTTCAGCTACTCAGTACTGATCCGTAGTGTGAAGGCAGCTGCAGACCACACCTAAGTGGACAGTCGTGGCTGTGTTCCAGTAAAACTTTATGCCAGCAGACGGTGGGCTCAATTGGACCTGCAGGCTGTGTTTGTCCATCCCGGCTCCAGTCTGTTCTCTGCACTGTGCCCAGGATTTCATGAGCATCAGTCTCAAGGTTTCCATTCTTCACCTCAACTACTTCCCAGGCGCCAAATCTAGACTCTCTGGTGACCCTTTGCAGTCCTTCACTGGTGTCTCTAGCAAGTAGGGCAAAGTTTCCCCTGTCTGTCCTGAGGTCCGCTGCTCTCCTCATTCAGATATCTGGTTTTTCAGTTCATTTCAGGTGCTCTCTGTCCTCTGCCAGCATGCTCTGCTAAGCTTCTCAGTCTGGTGAAAACACAGTCCTCTTTTCAGCCAGTTCCTGCCCTACCTGTGCTCAGAAGCACCTCCCCCCTCCCCTCAGCCTCCTCAGCAACCTGTTCTTGTGTGTCTCACAGCCAGTGGGGGGCATGGGCTCACTGCTCCCTCCCGCCCTGAGAAATCTCGAATTGTAGCACTTGTTAATTTCTGTGGTGTGACTAATCCTACCAAGGTTGACTTCAGTGCTCATGTGAAGCCGCTAAACATGAATGGGAAGAGATGGCATCGTCTTAGCCTATTTGCATTGCTATAAAGGAATACTTGAGGCTGGGTGATGTATAAAGAAAGGAGATTTGTTTGGCTCACGGTTCTGCAGGCTACAAGAAGCACCACATCAGCATCTGCTCTGTGAGACCTCTGGACGCTTCTACTCATGGCAGAAGGGGAAGGGGAGTTGGTGTGTGCAAATCACATGGGGGGAGAGGACGTGAGATGGGGTGGGAGGTGGAGGGTGGAAGGGAAGAAGGTGCCAGTTTCTTAAACAACCAGTTCTCTCAGAAATGAACAGAGAAAGAACTCTTCTTTACCAGGACAGCACCAAGCTGTTTGTGAGGGATCCACCCCCACGAGCCAAGCCCCTCCCACTGGGCCCCGCCTCCAACATCGGGAATCCAATTTCAACATGTGACTCCACTGGGCTAAACAAACCATATCCAGACTGCAGCAGATGTGCTGAGGCACACCACTCTGGGCACCATGGAATATTACCACCATGCAGATAGATGGCAGCCAACAGAAATAACCTCACATGCACTGATGATAGTAAAGTGTAGTAAACTGATCATGAAATAATGAGTTTGAATATTTATTCCCTTTGTTCTTAATCTACTTTATTTAGCTGTAAGTTTGTATAATTTAACTTGTTACAGTGGCTATGTGTTTACTAACTGGCTCACAAAACTCCTGAAAAGTAAAAATTAGTTCTATTGAGCAAGTACAAACTGTCCCCAGCCCTGCCAGTATTGTATTTTGCTTAAACCCAAAGTTGAGGTCTTAATGTGGTCTATTTCCTTGCTTCTGAAATGCACGTTTTCCACCCATGTACCATGTCTGAAGTCAGGTTTTAGTCACTGCACAGATGTGGTGGTGATTCCTGGTTGTTCCCACCACTGTGGGTCAGGCAACACCATGCACTGTCAGAGGCCATTCAAGGAAGGGAAGAGTCTTGTTCTACCTGAACATCTTCTACTGGCCCCTCCCAACAAGGCCAGGAAGGTACCACATCAGAACTCTGGAAAGGGCGTTGGCTGTGCGGCCCACAATTACTTAGAAGATGGTCTTGTAGTCCACAGTGGAGTGCTCCAAAGAAATGCTTTGCCAGCAACACTGCAGCGGCCTGATGAGCATTGTCGTCATGGGAAACCAGACATGGTATCATGGAGGGACTCAAAGAAGGGCGCTCTCTGAACATGAACCGCGTTCAGAATTCTTTAACCTGTTGATTGCTCAAGTTTTCTTCTGAGGTGTGTGCAAGAGTGATTTTTGTTGAACGAGTCTGAAAGAGTTCACCCAATAAACACAAGGTCATTCTAAGCAGTTACAAAACATTTGTTGCAGTTTAATTGTACTGTCTTTGCCCACTGAGTGGCATGTGACAGCCTCTGAGTCGAGGAGACCCAGCATGACAGTGTGGTGAGTTCAGTACCTGTCTCCCAGGCTGATTGTGAGACTCTTAAGGGCAGAGTTAGGACCAATTCAACTTCGTTTTTCAGGGTCTGGAACTGTGCCTTGGTGTTTAAGTGCTTGTGTTCTTTCTCTAGTAAGAAAACTCACACTCCAGCACCATAGCCAGCATGCCCTGCTGTGCTGCTTGACTAGCCTCTCAAAACCAGCTTGACCTTTAAAAAATTTAGTTTGGTCAGCTTAAAACCATCAGTAATTGAGGCAAACAACCTCAATTAGTGTTGTCTTTAAAGTATTAAGGCTTTTTTGTTTTAAAGCACAAGGGACTGGTTCATTCTTGAACTAATCGCAGAATGAAGTAGAAGTCAAATTCTAAAGAGTAAAGAATTTTTTAAAATGAAGCTGGTGACTGCTAAATACTTGCTACATGCCAAGCGCTGAGGAAAAGCACTGTTCATACTTTATCTTATTTAATCCTTAAAACCACCCATTACACAGGTTCTACTATCCCCATTTTAGAAATGGGAAGTTGAGGAAAGGCAGTGCGTGGCATCGCTGAGAGGAGGCAGGTCTGTCTCTCTCCAAGTTCCTGCCCTTTTGCCCAGACCCACTTCCTGACACGTGCCTGACACTTAGGAGCTTGGGGAATTTTGAGAATCTTGCCCTGAAGAGAAGGGGCTGGAAAATAATGATTCAAATTCATCCTAAAAGTTGTCCCTGGGTCCTGATTGATACACTCTGGGGGAGCACACGTCAAAAAAGTGGTGGTGGCGAGCAGTAGTCTAAAGCCATGCTTCCCAGGCAGTCCTGGACCAATTGTGGAACTGGGTGGAGGTGGACAGGCCCACCAGGGTAGAGGTGAACAGGGCCACCAGGTGGAGGTAGACAGGGCGACCAGGTAGGGGAGGTTGGAACCAGGAAAAACGCAGAGGTACAGCTATAGGGGGCCCCTTGTCCAACCATCTAGTAACTGGTTTTTTCCTAGTGTTTGTCAGGATGGCTCAGACTGAGGCTGTGGTCCCATTGCTCCATGTCACTCAGTGTAGAGACTGGTGAGATGCAGACTCTCTCCCTCCAACAGCATGCACTCTCCTGCCCCCGCAGGACCACATGGGCCAACCTGTCCAGACAGCGATCTCTGCGCCTCTGAGACTCCTCTCCAACACCTGTTTGCCTCATTCTGCAGCCTCTGCAGGGAGCCCTGCCTCCGTGTTCCAGGAATCCCTGGTGGTTGTGTACGGATTGCAGGGTTTGTTTTGTCGATTGGCCATTTGTTTCATTACAATCATTTGTTTCACCCTTAGAATGGCACAAGTTCTGCTGCAGCTGCAGTTTCCAGAACTTTACACAGACCCGAGAACCCACCTCCTCTTTCCACAGGCATTTGTCCACTTTAGTCTTTAAAGCCCTGTGTAAC